AGGATTTAGTTGATTTTGGTGAATGCTCGTCTACTTTCGTTGTTAGGCAATAATTAAGGGATATTATATTTGAATTATTTATTTCATTCTGATGTCAAACCGTGTGTTTGCCTAGCATGCAGTTATTACTTGTCATGTAGGATGCCATTTGTCATTCCTGTTGGACTCAAATCTTATGAGTTAGCATTAACCTTTTATGACAGATAATGGTATAAAGCCTTAGAGTTTTAAACAATGTTGTTAGCATCTGATGGAACTTAGAACTTGTTCGATTTGTAGTTCAATATTATCATTGTATTTTGTATTGGTTTCTTCTGCCGTGATACATCATGCTGTCAATGTTATATCTCTTCTTTTTCTCCTCTTCCTGCTCTTAACCTTTCTCTAGTTCATTTTTGTTTAAGGTAATTCATCTGAAGTAAATTCTTCAAGCTTCTCATGGATATCTTGTGTGTTATTTTAATAAAAGGAATTCAGTTGTCTTTACCCTATTTCCAAACTGCGTTATTGAGTAGCTCGTTTATTTACATTGTAATGCTTCCTATGCCCTCTGATATTTTGTACTTTTGCAGCCTTCTGTTAGAAAGCAACACAATGCTGGCTACAAGCACAAGGTTTTCTCATGATAGACAAATATTCTTCTTATCTCCCTCTTTCCTCATCCCATTCAATGCAAAAATTCTGACGTCCACCGTTGCATTTGCAGGCTAATGTGCGCTCTTATTATCAGCAGTTTGAGGAGCAACAAACTCAAAGCCTAATAGATCAAAGAATTAAGGAGCATCTTGGTCAGGCTGCAGCTTTCCAACAACAAGTTGGTGCAAGCTTTAACCAACACCTTATGTCGCTCCAAGCTAACCCTCAAAGGCCTCGACTTCCTATTCTTCCACCCCCAGTTTTACCAATTGGAGCACCTCAAGCGTTATTGTCCCCACAAATGGTTCCGGGACTTAGACCTCCTGTTCTTCCAAGGCCAATTGCTGGCCCTCCAGGTTGATTTG